GAGGGGCTCCCCTCCTCCGGTGCAACGGCGCCGCCTTTCCCTCGCTGCCGCTTCCCCGCACGCAGCGTGACGGGGCAGACGCGTAGGCCCTTCTCGTTCATCCTAGGGCTGCTGTGCGCCAAGGGCGCCTTGGCGTAAGTGAGCCCCTGTCACGTCAGGCAGGCAGTTCTGTGCCCCAGAAGACCGCAGTGCAGGGCCAGAGCCATGACTGGCTGGTAGTGACTGGCGTCTGTTGAGCAAACGTGTGTGTGCATCCAGCCATAGGCAGTCACAGAATATATGGCAGTCGTGTGCAAGGTTTCTCTTTTGGTTTTGTTATGTAGCGTAGGAGATTTTTCTACGCCTTGAACCTCGGAACAGACAGGCTGGATTTGCTGTCCTGGTCTGTCCTGATAGGATGCCTTTTGACTCTTTATAGGCTGCAGATGCTCTGCCTGGATTCACGCGTCTTGCTGTGAGAGACGTATCCTATTCCATAGCATGATGTAGAAACCTGAAGGCAGTAGCTTTATGATAGGTGAAGTGTAGCTTGTTTTGTCTTAATGCAATATTGCACCGAGGGGGAGTGCATATACTGTGTGCCACGGGCACAGCTCTGAGTAAGTATGGAAGCCACGGCCGTGTTTTGTTGCAAAATAACATGTAATTTCTGTGGCAGTAAAAGCACAGGCTTGACAAGCTATTGTATATAGTTTAAAGGAATTTCAGTAGGATACTTCGTTGTTGTTGTTGTTTTGCAGTCCCAGTGCTGACATGGACTGTTGAAAATATTCCCTTATTAACGTTTTTCCTAAGATATTTGCTAGGAAATACAACTTAGGACTAAAAGTGCTTTATGGTATCTTTAACGCCTATAAATACAGTCCTCAAAATCAAAAAAAAAAGAAATATTCTATGCTCAGCGTGTAAAGTATATGGTTATATATAGTTATATATATATATGGTTACTACTAAGATATGATGAATGTGGATGAAAGTAGCAGTAAAATAGTTTTTTGGCAAAGGTAACTTAACTGCATATCTGTTCTCACTTAAAGCTTTGTCTTGCCTGGGAAAGAGATAAGTCTTGCATCTAGTTTTGTAAGTATGAGCTAGCCAAACTTGTCTGAACCTTGCTAGGTTTCTTGCTCAAGATGGATAATTTTTAGTGTTTATTGGCTAAAAATGGAGCTGGTGCCGTTCCATCTTTGCTTTCATTTTTTGAAAGAGCAGTTTAATCTCTATTTATAAGCCCATAATTAGAGTTAGGGCTATCTACGTTTCTTTTTTTAAGAAATGAAATACTTTAAAAATGAGTGCCCAGGCTAGCCTGTGTTTTTTCTTCTATGAGAATCAAAGTTGTTCTCAGTATAGGCTGAATTGTTCTTCAGTCAGGGTGATAATACTTTGCTTATCATTATTAGGAAGGAAGACTTCAAGAAGTGATTGAAAACCTTCTGTCCTTGGAAAAACAAACACGAACGGTAAGTAGCATGTGATGTGCAACGTTTATGCAGGATCGTCCTGCATGTACCCTTGTTCCGCAGAGTTAAAGTATTGAAGAAATTTGGGGCATCAGTCTTCCTCCTTAGTTTTCCAGTTTTTCTTTTCTTTAAAAAGAAAATCAGTGAGGCTACATATAATTCCCCCTCCCTTTTCCTATAACAGAATTGTAAGTGAAGAGGACTACAGGTTGTTTATTCCATCACTAATAAGCTGTTTGTTTGTTACAGGCGTCTGACATGGTTTCCACATCCCGAATCTTAGTTGCTATAGTGAAAATGTGTTATGAAGCTAAAGACTGGGATGCTCTTAATGAAAATATTATTCTTCTATCAAAGAGAAGAAGTCAGTTAAAACAGGTAAATATAAATCTTCTAAACAAAAAAATAAAATTGTATTTGGAGCTGTATTATGTATCTGATTATCCCTTGTGTGTAGGGGCTTTTCTGACTGTCTAGCACTTCTCTGAATATATTGTACTTAGCTTCTGTTGACGTTTGTTGGTACACATATGAAAGCCAGTGATGAAACTGAAGTCTGGAATTAATCTCTCGACCTCATATCTGAGCTCCACAGGGTCCAATTTGTCATTCTTGGCGATACAACTGTGACTGTTCTGCTTTCACTGCATGTCTAAGCTTTTAGGTGGTAGTTCATCTTTACACTGTTCTATAGTCTGCATTGTGGATATATGTGAACAGGAGAAAACTAAGTATGAGGTGTACGTTCAAAGAGTTTTTGCAATTTATTGTGATCAAATAAGCCATATCCTTTACATGAGGGTGCTTTCTTTTGAAACTGTCATACTCTGGAATTCATTTCTGTCTTAGAAATCAGCGAACAGCATAGCCTGAAGAGTTTACCTTGAAGAAGGTACAAAGTTTATTGTGCTCAGTTATAAGCTGCATGTTTAGTTTGACTTAATTAGAAGTTAGCAATAGCCAATTTTGAAGGCCCCATTGCTTTACAAAGAAGGTGGTTACCTACTTTTTAATGTGCAGAAACGTTAGGATTTTGTATACAAGTAGAATACGGTTTAGTTCTCTGACTCACGCAGACAGTGGCTGAAGACTCAGATCTTTTCAACCGATTTTTTTTTTTTGCCTTGAAGAAAGCCTTTTTATTCTTCTGAAAATTAACTCAACTGAAGAACGTTACTTTCTTTATACTTGACTTCTGTATTTCAGTACTGTATGTTTTAGGAACATCCAGTTGTCACGCTTTTATTTCAGGTCTCAATAGAATGTATCTGTCTCTAGATATTTTGGAGGCCTTGCATAACGTATTAGAGGGGACTAGTATATAAAATATATCTTCATTCTGGTTTTCTAGGAGTAGCTACTTTAATAATACTGCTAACGACTTTGTCAGCGTTGTTACCGGAAGAACATATTCCAATACTGGTGCTTGCCACTGAAGGGTGGTAACTTATTAGCGCCTATTTAAGGATCTGCAGAGATGGAAAAGCATCAATCAGAAATAATTCCCCCTCTTCCCTCCCTTCCTGAAACATCTACAGGTGTCCTAAAGAGAAAGGCTAGTGCACACAGTTAAGATTTTACCAGTGTATGTGAACGTCATGTTGATTTGGCAAAAGAGAGGTACTACTTTTCAAGGGAGAACTGCATGGAATGAACTGTAAACGTCATTGGAACAACTGAGAAGAAAGAAATGACAGAATAGCATCACATTTGACTCCTACTATCAGCTGCTAGCATCATTTTAAGTGATTAGAAATACCTTGCATGCTATTTTGAGATAAGCCTCTTGAATATGGTAGTAAATTATTTAGTACTTATCTCTGAATTTTATAGTTTTAATGCATTTGGAAATGTAAAAATACAGTATATTTTTCTGTTCTGTTATTGTACTAGGCAGTTGCTAAAATGGTCCAGCAGTGCTGTACTTATGTTGAAGACATCACAGACCTACCAGTCAAACTACGCTTAATTGACACGTTGCGTATGGTTACAGAAGGAAAAGTAAGATTTTGTTTTAAGACTGAATGTCTAAAAGGTAGAATAAAAATGTTCACCTTCTTTAAAAGCGTAGCTTCCTAACATTTTTTTTTAAATCTTGTTCAAATAAGAGCAAAAGCATTTTTTTTTTAAATTAACCTGAGAAGCAGTGTATTTCTTTCTAAAAAATAAATATTTTCTGTATTTCCTAAGTAACGAACTTGCTAAAGCATTTACCATATTTCTATGAAGCAGATATTTGAAAGTATTATTAATGTAATTAATAGTACATTTGAAAATTCTAAAGTGCCATTTATTTTCCACTTTAAAAATACTTTTAAGCATCTCTTAACTGTATGAATTCGTTGAAGAAACGGGCAGGTTTAATTTAATTTCTCCTGCATTTAGCAAGGTGTTACATACAGTTATGATAACCAGAAGGTGATATTAACTCATCATAACAAGTTAATTACTTTCCATAATATTCCATTTGGTTTAAAAAAAAAATCCATTTCTGATTAAACTAAATGTGTATTAACATTATGGCTTCTAGCTGTTCAAACCAAATCATTAATAATCAAGTATTGTCACTTCCTGGCTGGTTAGGAGTGAGTGAAAAAATGTGAATGATAGTACTCAGCACATAGTAGTCTACAGAACAGTAGACTAATTCAGACGTGGATTTTTTGGGTTAATTTGGTCCATATATTTCCAGTGTGTCAACTATCCATTATATGGATACACATAGAATTAATTAGTTGTA